TGCGGATTCGTAGGAAACCCAACACTTTTTAAACATTTCTGTCAAACGGGCTTTTGCGAGCAACTTTTTCGAACTTCTGCAACAACGGTTGCGCACCTGCCAGGGCCATCATCCCTGTCAAATAATACCATGCGGGACACATTCGTTTTTTCTTCGCGCGCGCACGCCGTCGTCGTCGGCCGCGGGGCCCTGAATAGTAGCCACGGTCGTCCGCATGCCACGAAGTGAAGTGTCCGAACGTCATAGGGCGGGAAGCTGGGTGTGGGTGGTGGCGAAGAGTCGTTTGGAAATTTGGTAGAGCTTGAACCGGCCCCCCCACAAAGTGGGGGTATTGCCCGCCTCCTATGAAAACCCTGGCACTGGTGAGAACGGAGTGTCCCCACGTGCTAGTAATTGTTGTTGTTGTTGTTGTTGTTGTTGTTGTTGTTGTTGTTGTTGTTGTTGTTGTTGTTGAACATTATTTATTCTAAAGAATAATTATTGTTGGGCCCCCTGGTGCGCGCCCCCCCTGCGCCGCCTAGGCCGCAGCTACATTTTCATCATTTTCGTGAGGAAGCCTCAGAAAAGAGGGTGTGTACAGGATCCGGTTGTTTTGTTGTAATCCGCTTTCCCTTGCAAAAAACAATAGAAAATGACATTTCTTGTTCTAATATAATCAAATTTCAAGAATCCCTTGCAAAAAATAAGGTAAAGTGGACATTCGCGCGCGCAAGACGAAATCCTTCCAAAACCTTAGTGTTCGCAGCGATTTTAACATAAAAACATCAAAAAACCAATGGTTTTTCAACAAAAAATTGTCAAAATCTCATCCCGCGCGCTCTTGCGGATTCGTAGGAAACCCAACACTTTTTAAACATTTCTGTCAAACGGGCTTTTGCGAGCAACTTTTTCGAACTTCTGCGACAACGGTTGCGCACCTGCCAGGGCCATCATCCCTGTCAAATAATACCATGCGGGACACATTCGTTTTTTCTTCGCGCGCGCACGCCGTCGTCGTCGGCCGCGGGGCCCTGAATAGTAGCCACGGTCGTCCGCATGCCACGAAGTGAAGTGTCCGAACGTCATAGGGCGGGAAGCTGGGTGTGGGTGGTGGCGAAGAGTCGTTTGGAAATTTGGTAGAGCTTGAACCGGCCCCCCCACAAAGTGGGGGTATTGCCCGCCTCCTATGAAAACCCTGGCACTGGTGAGAACGGAGTGTCCCCACGTGCTAGTAATTGTTGTTGTTGTTGTTGTTGTTGTTGTTGTTGTTGTTGTTGTTGTTGTTGTTGTTGTTGTTGTTGTTTCGGTCATTCTTTATTTTTCAGCCACAAGCCGCCTGCAGGAGGACACGCCCGACTAGATGTTGTGTGCTTTCTCGATCTTCCAGAGCGTCCCCCCCGCTGGAAGCTCGCAGGCCCCGCGGCGACTCCTCGGGCCAGGTGGCCCGGTGGGCAGTCCGCCAGGGTCGGCCGGCGCTCTCCTCTCCTCGGGAGCCTGCCCTTCCCGCCCTGGGCATGACATATCTGGACACGCTTGCGCAGATCTCCCCTTTCGCTTCCTCCCTCCTCCTCCTCCTCCTCCTCCTCCTCCTCCTCCTCCTCCTCCTCCTCCACCTTCACCTCCTCCTCCTCCTCCTCCTCCTTGCCCGCGGGGGCGCGCGGCGGCCCGCGGTCGAGGATGGCCCCCGGCGCCAGGAGAAGGCGCGACCTGTGAAGGCAGCCTGCCTGCTGGCGTCCGCCGCCGGCCGAGGCTCAATGCGGTGTGCGCCCCCGAAGGAAGATCGGGCCGGACGAAAGGGGGGGATTGGAAAGGGGGGTTACGAAATTTGCTGCATGCAGCTGGTTTCGGCCTCACCGAGGGGCCCATTCCTCGATACATAGTCGCCTCTGGCGCCGGGAGGCGCCGGGAAAATCAGCTACGTGAGCTGATTCTCAAACCCCCCCTTTGCTATCCTCCCCTTTCGCCCGACCCGAGAAGAGAGGCGGAGGACCCAACCATCTGTGCTTGTGGGTGCCGCAAGTGTGAGTCTCTGCTTCGGTGAAGCTCCCGATAGGGGCCACGAAGCGCTGCACTGGGCTGGGGGGGCCGCATGCGGGCGGCAGCACTGGGGCCGTCGGTGGAGCCCCCTATGAGGCCACGAAGCGCTGTACTGGGTGGGGGGGACGCATGCGGGCGGTAGCATTGGGGCCGTCGGTGAAGTTCCCTACGTGGCCACGAAACGCTGTACTGGGTGGGGGGGGCGCATGCGGACGGTAGCACTGGGGCCGTCGGTGGAGTTCCCTATGGGGCCACGAAGCGCTGCACTGGGTGGGGGGGACGCATGCTGGCGGTAGCACTGGGGCCTTCGGTGGAGCTCCCTATGGGGCCATGAAGCGTGTGAGGGGTGTGCCGACAAGGGAGTGTGGAACGCAGCGGTAGCACTGGGGCTTTCGGTGGAGCTCCCTATGGGGCCACGAAACGTGTGAGGGGTATGCTGAAATGAGTGTGGGGGACGGACGCATGCGGGCGGTAGCACTGGGGCCTTCGGTGGAGTTCCCTATGGGGCCACGAAGCGTGTGAGGCGTGTGCAAAATTGAGTGTGGGGGACGCATGCGGGCGGTCCCACTGGTGGCTTCGGTGGGGCTCCCTATGGGGCCACGTTGTACTGGGTGGGTGAAAATACCAAATTGGGTGGGTGTGGAACGCATGCGGGCGGTCCCACTGGGGGCTTCGCTGGAGCCCCTGTGGGGCCACGACGCGCTGCAGTGGGTGGGTGAAAATGCCAAATTGTGTGTGTGTGTGTGAGTGTGTGTGTGTGTGTGTGTGTGTGGCGCATGCGGGCGGTCCCACTGGGGGCTTCGGTGGTTTTCCCTATGGGGCCACGAAGCGCTGTACTGGGTTGGCAAAAATGCCACATTGGGTGTGTGGGACGCATGCGGGCGGTCCCATTGGGGGCTTTGGTGGAGGCCCCTTATGGGGCCACGAAGCGCTGTACTGGATGGGTGAACATGCCAGATTGGGCGTGTGGGACGCATGCGGGCGGTCCCACTGGGGGCCGTCGGTGGAGCCCCATATGGGGCCGTGAAGCGCTGTACTGGGTAGGTGAACGTGCCAAATTGTGTGTGTGTGTGGGACGCATGCAGGCGGTCCCACTGGGGGCCGTCGGTGGGGCTCCCTATGGGGCCACGGAACGCTTTACTGGCTATGCGGGACGCATGCGGACGGTAGCACTGGGACCTTCGGTGGGGTCCTTATGGGGCCACGAAACGCTGTATTGGGTGTGCGGGACGCATGCGGGCGGTAGCACCGGGACCTTCGGTGGGGCTCCCTATGGGTTCTGGGGCCACGAAGCGCTGCACTGGGCGTGCGGGAAGCATGCGGTCGGTAGCACTGGGACCTTCGGTGGGGCTCCCTATGGGGCCACGAAACGTGTGAGGGGTGTGCTGAAACGGGATGATGATGATGATGATGATGATGATGATGATGATGATGATGATGATGATGATGATGATGATGATGATGATGATGATGATGATGATGATGATGATGATGATGATGATGATGATGATGATGATGATGATGATGGTGATGGTTTGGTGATGGTGATGGTGATGGTGATGGTGATGGTGATGGAGGAGGGGAGAGGGGGAGGAGGAGGAAGAGGATGAGAACGCGGCGACCGTCTCTTCAAAACGAGGACCCAACATCACAGGATGGTTGGGAATACACATTGTCGCCGTCGGGGGCGCTTGTCCCAGGGCGGCTGGAAAGTTGATACCTTTACGGCGGCACGTTAAGATATGAACTTTCCAGCCGCCCTGGGGCAGCGCTCCCGGCGACGGAACAGTTTATTATATTCCGTTCTTCGCCCGCTCATCTGTCCCTCTTTTTCGCCCAGGCCCAAACGAGCTTGGTGGAGTCCCTTTCCCATCGGTTGGGAAGCTGGCAGTGTTCATCCTCGGGGCCTCCTCGGAAAAACAAGTATCCTGGTGAAGGACCCAACCATCTGCAGTTGTGAGTAGCGCGTTGTGGGTGCCGCTTTCGGTGGAGCTCCCCATGGGGCCACGAAACGCGTGAGGGACGTGCCGTAATGGGTGGGGGAGACGCATGCGGGCGGAGCCACTGGGGCCTTCGGTGAGGCTCCCTATGGGCCACGCAACGCTGTCTTGGGTGTGGCTGACGCATGGGGTCCCCCCCACTGGGGCCGCAGGTGGAGCTCCCTATGGGGCCACGAAACGCTGTACTGGGTGTGGCGGACGCATGTGGCCACCCCCACTGGGGCCGCAGATGGAGTTCCCAATGGGGCCAGGAAGCGCTGTACTGGGTGTTGCGGACGCATGTGGCCACCCACCCCCCCTGGGGCCTTGCGTGGAGCTCCTTATGGGGCCACGAAGCGCTGTATTGGGTGTGGCGGACGCATGTGGCCACCCCCACTGGGGCCTTCGGTGGGGCTCCCTATGGGGCCACGAAGCGCTGTATTGGGTGTGGCGGACGCGTGTGGCCACCCCCACTGGGGCCTTAGGTGGAGCTTCCTATGGGGCCACGAAGCGCCGCACTGGGTGTGGCGGGCGCATGTGGCCACCCCCACTGGTGGGGGGGGGGGCAGCGGGAGGAGGAGACGTGGGGACCGTCTCTTCAAAACGGGAAAAGTCTCCTCGGAGGCCTGCCCGCCTGCTCCAGAGGGTCCCGCCCCCGCCCGGCCACTGCCTCTTGGGCGCGCCCGCCCGCCCGCCCGCCTCGCTCGTGGATGGGCCCGCGTCTGCCCGACCCATCTCGCTCAGGGCCCGCCCGCCCGACGCGGCTGTCTTCAGCGGTCGGACCGAAGAGAGGATCGAGGTCGGCTCGGGGCTGTTCCGGGTTTCTTGGCAAGCGTGGGGGGTACCCTTCCGACGGAGGTCAAGCTCGCCTCGTCGTCGCGCGCCGCGCCGGGGGTCGGAGCGCCTTTGGCGCGTGGGGGCTGCCCGCGACGGGGGTCGACGTGGGGCTGTCGGCGAGGGTGACGCCCCCCCCCCGACGCTTATGGAAAAACTCGTTGTGCGTAGCCATTTTGGCTCAAGCGATTCCTATCTAGGCGGCCACATCACGCGGCGGCCTTGCGAGCATTCGCCCCCAGTCAGGCTTCAGCTCGACCAAGAGGCTCATTCGGCAGAATGCGTGAGGCGATCTGCATCCACATTGGCCAGGCAGGAGTGCAGATTGGAAATGCATGCTGGGAGCTCTTTTGCCTCGAGCATGGCATCCAGCCCGACGGCCAAATGCCCTCCGATAAGACAATCGGGGGCGGTGACGATGCCTTCAACACGTTCTTCTCCGAGACTGGTGCCGGCAAGCACGTCCCCCGCTGTGTGTTCGTCGACCTAGAGCCCACGGTGGTCGATGAAGTGCGCACAGGCACGTACCGTCAACTGTTCCATCCGGAGCAGCTCATTTCTGGTAAAGAGGACGCCGCGAACAATTTCGCGCGCGGGCACTACACAATCGGCAAGGAGATCGTCGACCTCGTGCTCGACCGGATCAGGAAGCTGGCCGACAACTGCACCGGCCTCCAGGGCTTCATGATCTACAATGCCGTCGGCGGAGGCACAGGCTCCGGGCTCGGCTGCCTGATGCTGGAGCGCCTGTCCGTGGACTATGGCAAGAAGACGAAGGTCTCCTTCACCGTGTGGGCGTGCCCGCAGGTCGCCACCGCGGTGGTGGAGCCGTACAACACGGTGCTCTGCGTGCACTCCCTCCTGGAGCACACGGACGTGACCATCATGTACGACAACGCTCATGCTCACGCTCAGCACACAGGGGACCCGCCCATGCTCAGCTGCAGCGTCTTCGAGGGTAACTTCAGGATGCTCCCCTCCCCGGAGGGTCATGGGATGGCGGGCAATTCAGTTTTGTGCAAGCTAGATGGCGACGCGGGGCTTTTTGGCATCGTCATGTGGGCCATCCTGTTGGCTCTCGGGGTGAAGCATTTCGGGTTCTTGGTCATGCTCGTCGGCATGGTCCTCTTCTTGAATTTGGTGTGCATGGAGTGCGGGTACGGCATCATCGTGGTGCTGCTGTTCCTGGGGCTGCTCGCGACGTCCTGCTCCTGCAGGATGGCGCTGCGGACCAGGTGCTGCGAGGAAGGAGGAAGGCGGCGGAGGGAGGCAGGAGGACGCAAGGAGGTTGAGGCGGGAGGCGGAGTGGAGGCAGGAGGAGGGGGCCAGGACATAGCTGCTGCTGGTGCGTCGTGGGGACGGTGCGCCATAAGCGCCCGGTGGGCGGCTGGGGGCCGCCGGGGGCAGTGCCGCGGCCAGGGACGGCAGTGGCGCAGCATCGAGCTCAGGGTCTTGCGGCTTGAGGGCACGCGGGTGAGGCCGCGGAGGAGGCGCGAAGGGCGGGTCTGCCCGCTTGAGCCTGTGCAGGCGCAGGCGCAGGAAAGTCAGGAGAGGACAGGAGAGGAGGGCGATAGCGGATGGGCCGGCACGCCTACCGAGAGCGCCAGATTGGGCGACCACCCGGGCTCGGAGGAGCTGGAGGCGCCCACTGAGGATGAGGAGGGAACCGTTGCCGACCTCCAGACGGCAGTGGTACGCCCTGGAGCCGTGATGGCCAAGGGGCCACGTCGCAAGCGTAAGCTCGATTGGTTGGGCAGGCGGTGTAAGAGGGCTGCCCAGGAGGCGATGCTGGTGGCGGCACGGCGGCTTGCGGCGCAGAGTTGCGACGAGGAGAGGGGAGCGCAAGCCCGCCGCAAGGCGGCGGAGGCAGGAGAGGTACAGGACGGAGGTCGAGATGAGGAAGAGTCTAGAGGAGAGCGCGCCGACTCGGACGGCATGCCGGGTTGGCGCATGACCGACCTGACGTGGGCGCGGGCAGGAGGTGGGCAAGGCGCTTCCAAGGCGCGGGCCCGCCGTCAGGCAGAGCAGAAGGCGCTCCTCCAACAGATGAAGGGGCTAATGAAGGTCCTGCAGACGGCCAGCCTGAGCAGGCCACCGAGGAGGGAGAGGAGGAGGAGGGCGAGAGTGAGGGAGGAGGAAAAGGGAGAGGAGGTCAGGCAAGGAGACTCACTTGACGACCAGATCCAGAAGGCTCTTGGGCAGTTGTCGGACGAGGTCCTCTTGAAGGTCGCGCAGGCGATCGAGCAGAAGAAAAAGGATCAGGAGCGTGGCAGAGGAGGCGGAGGAGCAGGCGCAGGATCAGCAGCTAGGAGGGAGGCAGGTGCGGCAGCGGGCTCAGCCAGGGAGGAGAGAGGTGTAGGTGGCGCAGCAGCCGCAACGACGGCCGAGCAAGGAGGCCAACGGCCAGGCCGCTGGCGGAAGTGGAAGGTCGACGAGCGGAGGTGGGTAGGGGAGCAGGGAAATAAACTCTCCTTTTCCACGACGTCGAAGATGCAGGAGGCACTCAGGGATGGGCTCGAACCGCCAGGAGACGTCGTAGTCACCACTGCTAAGGCGGCGCGGGAGATTCGCTTGCTCGCCGAGGGCCATAATATCCAGAAGCCGATCACGATGGTGATCACGGATGCGGTGGAGGGCGAAAGTGAGGCTGGTGAGTGGCAGGAGGTTGGCGTCAACACCAACGGCGTCCCGGCCACTAAGAAGTTGAAGGTCGTCAAGGTGAACGGCGGCGTGAAGGCGCCAGACCTGCGCCGCAAGGGCCCAGCTGGTCCTGAGGAACTTCCCATGGCGACTCTGCGCGTCATCATCGTCAAACGCCTGCTCGCGGAGGGCCAGTGGGCTAAGGTGAGGTTGAGGCCCGCGGCGTGGGTCACGGCAGAGCTGGATAAAGACTGCGTCATATCCGTGGACCAGTTTTTTGAGGAAGGACACAGCGCCACAGGAGGCAGTGACGTGATCGTCGGGTACCTCAAAGTGCGCCAGGACAAGGTGCAGGACATCGTGGACAAACACACCGGGCAGCGTGGCACCTTCTATGGGCAGCTGGCTCGTGAGAAGCAGGGCCAGGACCTCAGCGTGCGCTGGCTCCACAGAGAGGCCGACGAGACCGATCTGGATTACTATCGGAGGGCCCTTTCGGAACTCTCGGCGCCGGAGTCTCGGGGCCTTGCCTACAGGACTGGAGGGAGGAGTTACCTGGGAGTTCGGAGCACGACGGCGCCGAGGACGACAGAGGCGACCTGGAGACTCTTCCGAGTCCCGAGGCATTGGTCAGCGGCTGACCTGACGAAGTGGCTGCGGGATGGTGGCTGGAAGTCGGCCGAAGTCATCGCCCCCCCGTCGGGGCGCCTCGGGTGGCTGGTGAAGGGCTCGCCAGACGTGGACGCCGACTCATGGGTCATCCAGGTTGGTGACAGCAGGACGGAGGTCGAAGTACAGAGGTACGTCAAGCAGGGCCAGGCCAGGTGGACTAAACCGGCCATGCGGAGAGGCTGGAAGTGGAACAGTCACGATCCTGAGGACCCATGGCAGAGGCAGGAGGAGGAGGAAGAGGAAATGGAGGTAGAGGAGCAGACAGCAGCACCAGGCACTGAAGGGCCAGCGGCGGCAGCTCAGGATCAGCAGCCCCATGGCGCGCAGGAGGAGGTCAACATGGGAGAGGTTCAGGAGAAGAGGAGGCTTGAGGACGCGGAGGACGAGAAGCTTGAGGGAGATGCGAAGGAGGAGGCGAAAGCTAAGAGAGCCAAGGGCCGGGCCGAGGAGGATAAGGCCATGAGGGAAAGGATCGCAGCTCGAGTGGCTTCACTCGGAGACGGAGCGCAGGGAGGAAGCGGGCGTAGAGGTGCTGCGGCTGCGGCCGTGCAGGCGGCCGCCGTGGCCAAAGGCAAGGGCCAGACCAAAGGAAAGGATGGGAAGGGCAAGGAAGGCACCGGGAGGAGGATGAGCAACGAGAAGTGGGAGATCCTGGACCCAGGCACGAACGGAGGTGATTGTGGCTACAGGGCCATCAGCGGGGGCTGGGCGCTCACAGGAGGCCGGAGGAGTGCCACGAAGGAGGAGGTTACAGAGGACAGGAAATCCGCTGCCTTGGGCAGGACGCTGAGGATCCACATCGGTGAGGTCCTCCGGAAACGCCGCGCTGACTACGAACCGTACTTCGCGGCAAACCGCTTCGACAACAGCGTCACGGAAGACGGGGCTCTGCCGACTACTTGGGAGGAGTACGTAACAGCATGCACCCGGCCCAAACGCTGGATTGATGCGATCGGTCTCCAGGCTGCCGTTGACCACCTCAAGAGGAACCTGCTGATCCTCAACGGGGCGCCTGACGGCGACGACGGCATGAAGTACCAGAAGATTGCGCACATCTACCCAAGAGAAAAGGAGGCGCAACGGGAGGCGGACAAGGCGGAGGCGATCGTGATTGCATATTGGAAGTCGCATTTTTATATCGCACTACCTAAAACGTCGCCGCCTGAACACAGGGTGACGATCAACAAGCGCATCACCACGGATAAGCTCCTCGAGTCAGCATGGAAAATGCCGCGAGGAGGAGGAGGAGGAGGAGGAGGAGGAGGAGGAGGAGGAGGAGGAGGAGGAGGCAGAGGAGGGCGAGGCAGGAGAGGTACTGGCAGGGCAGAGGTCGAGGGACAGGACGCTGCCGACGAGGAGCTGGACGACTGGCTGCCCCCGGTCGTCGCGACACCGCAGAGGTCGGTTGTCGTGACACCGCAGAGGAGCAAGAGGAGGAGGAGGTGCGAGGAGTTTTCGGATGCAGCGGGGAGGGCTTGCGGAGGTGCTGAGCCAGCCAGTGCGTGGAGCACGAGGAGTAGAGGAAGTATGGACTCTTGGATGCCAGGCCCCAGCAGCACGGTGAAGCGTGCCACCCCCGCCAGCGCCAGGAGCGTCGGCACCGTGGACTCTTGGCTGCCGCGGCCGCATTCCGCAGGGAGGAGAGGGGCAGCGTGCGGTGTTGCAGGCGCAACCCCAGAGATGGACACCTGGGTGTGCAAGCTGTGTGATGAAACAGTCACCGCGCCCAAAGGCGCCTCCCGCTATTTGGGGATAAAGAAGAGTGTTCGCTTCGCAGAGATAGTCTTGCAGCGACGCCGCCACCTCCAGCGATGGCATCAAGGGGAAGATTGGTCGATGGCGGGCTCCCTGAAGAAACCCGCTAGGCTGCCGCCGAGGGTGCGACGCAAGGTGCCGCTGACGCAGCAGGAGTTTCATGAGATGAGAAGCAATGCGGCCAAGAAGCGGCACGCGAAACGGCGGGAAGAAGCGAGGAGGAAACGCGAGGAGGAGGGAGACACGCGCGACCACAAAGGCCACAACATCCGAGACGTGGTCACAGAAAACGCCAAGAACCACACTGGCTGGACGCGGCGCTTGCTGACTTGTGGCAAGTGCCATGGAGCCTGGTGGGGCGATGCGACCGCCAACGTGGCTGGCCCCTGCCATGCATGGAATGACCTGGCAAACGACAAGCCCAGGTGGATGCAACCGACCCGGTTGCGATGGTGGGCAAGCCTTGATGCAGTTGACCGCGCGCTGGTGCGACGGAGCTGGGCTGAGCATGCCGAGCAGCAACCGACTACCGCGGCGTGGAGGAAGATTGACGAGGCCGCCGAAGCGCTCACAGCCAGAGCCGACGCTGGGAGCTTCACGGCGGCGGAGAAGGAACGCAACAAGGTCAAGTGCCGCGCCATGGTGAAGGCTGTATGGGGCCCTGGGCAAGATGTTGCTGACCGCCGAGGCCCGGAGTACTCGACGTGGCTGGCGGCGCGCTGTGGTTTGCACAAGGTGGACCGCCCTGAGACGGTCATGAGGAAAACCGTAAGGAAGAGGCAAAAACACAAGGACAAGGCCCGGACGACTGGACCAGGCCGCTGCTGAGGCGGAGACGGGCGCAGGCTTGAGCCGAGGACGGACAGCAGAGGAGGCCGAGGAGGAGGAGGAGGAGGAGGAGGAGGGGCGAAACGCAGACAGGAGGCGGAAAAGAGAGGGGCAGGTCGAGGAGGAGGAGGAGCCTGAGACAAGCAGGAGGCGAATTGCAGCAGAGGAGGTGCTGGAGACAGGCACGAGGCCAATTGGCGAGGAGGCAGAGGGGCAGCAGGAGACGGCAGGACAGCTGGGGCGCAGCGAGGAGCTGGAAACGCTGGGGGTCCTTCTGGGGACTATCAATGTCGCCAGCTGGTCTAAGCATGGCCTGGCGGCTTTCCAGGCAGCCGGCGCGCACGGTGCCGACGTCTTGTTTGTCCAGGAGCACAAACTCACGAGGCAGGGAATGCGCACGGCGCAGCGGCTGGCTGCAAGGAGGAGCTGGCACCTCGTAGAGGGCACGGTGCTAGACGAGACTCAGGGCAAGAATGGCCGTGATTGGCACAATTACGGCGGCCTCGCGTGCGCCACGAGGGGCACATGGAGAGCTGAACGGCTGTGGCAGATGAGGGAGATAGGAGGAGAGGTTGCGGTCTTTCGTGTGCGCAGTGGCAGGCAGATGCTGCACGTGGGGGTCGTGCATCTCCGGCGCAACAGCCCGGTCCAGGCGCGCCGAGGATTGCTCCTGGGTCTGCGGGAGTGCCTCGCCGGGCTCGGAGGTGCAGCTGTGCTCGGCGGCGACTGGAATGTGGAGGCCTCGGAGGGCATCCTCGGCGTTTTGACTGGGGATGGCCAGTGGCAGCCTGCAGTGCCGCAGTCGTCCACGATGGCAGGAAGCAGCGATGCCAGGAATGACTACTTCCTGGTCCAGGGCGTGGTTGTCGGCGAGGCAGTGGCGCACCGTGACCGGATTGCGGGCCACAGGTTGGTCACGATGGGGCTCAAGGTGTGGGCCGAGGAGGAGACTGAGGGTTGGGCCTGGCGGCGCGCGGCGAGATATGGCGTCAGTACCAGACCACGCGCCAACATGGACGATGAAGACGACGGCTGGCTCGCGAGCGCCCGGCCGCCTCGCAGTCAAGGCCCCGTGGCCGAGGAGGGCGATGCCGCTGCTGAAGGAGAACGTGGGGCTGAGCACGAGGAAGAGGAGGAAAAGGAGGAGGAGGCGCGTGAGGCAGCCCGGCGCTGGCGGACGTGCCACAGCCGCGAGGAGGAGGAGGAGGAGGAGGAGGAGGAGGAGGAGGACGCAGGCACCGCCGAGGACCTCTGGAGGAAGTGGTCCCGAGGAGCAGAAGCTTTTCTGCGAGGTGAGCACAAGGTCCTTACTGAAGGAACGGGCTACAAGGGAGACCGACACCTGGTGCACTGGCAGCGCCCGGAGAGCCAAGAGGCGGGCTCCGTGCAGGCGCGGCGCGAGAGGCAGCTGAGGGAACTCATCGCCGTGTCGGAAGCCGTGCAGGAGCGAAGGGGGCCGCGTGTGCGTGACGGAGCGACCCAGGCGCTATCGCGAAAGAGGGCGTACCTTCGGCGGAAACTTGGGCTGCCGCGGGCCGTTGGACCAGATGACGCACAGGACCTGCACAGGAAACTGCGGGAAGCAGTGGAGGTCAGCAGGGACGAAAGGATCAAAGTGTGGCGCGAGAGTATACGTGAGGACAACATGCGGAAGCGGACGTACAAATGGATCAGGAATCCGGCGCAGAGCTGTGGAGCCGCCGTGTACGACGCGACCGAGCAGAGACAGTATTCGGGGCAAGCTGCGGTGGAGAAACTCCGTAGTTTTTATCACGGCCACTTCAGTAGCGCAGGGTCTGGGAACCAGCCCGAGGAGTACATGCTGCACTACGCAGAGGAGGTGGAGGAGGCGAAGGAGAAAATCCAGCAGGCGGTGGCGCAGGAGGATCGCCATCGTCAGCACATCTACGCAATGCTCGGCCACAGTGATTTGCGCTGGGGAGCCCCATCAGCAGGCAGCGTGCGGCGGCTTTTGAGGACGATGGCAGGCACCGCGGCTGGCCAAGACCAGTGGTTAGCGAGCGAGCTGCTCCTCCTGCCAGACCTTGCTTACGATGACCTGGTGGATCTGTGCCTTGGCTTCGAGGCGGGAGGCTGGCCCCCGAGCCTCAAGAGGTGGAGGCAGACCCACATCCCGAAGGAGAGCGACAGCATCCCGAAAGTGGACCGCATGAGGCCCATCGCCATCGCCAGCACGGTGGTAAGAATGTGGCACAAACACCGAGCAGAGCAGATCGCAGAGTTCCTGGAGCCGGCTTTCGAGGCGGACCAAGCTGGCGGCCTGCGCCAGAGAACGCTCGAGGGGCTCCTGGAGGGCACGCTGACGGAGGTCGAACAAACGATGGTCGCCAACAGGATCGCGGGCACCCCTGCGTACGACCTCCTGAGCGAAGACGACAAGCAGAGAGTGGACAGCAAGAAGGGCGCCCTCTACGGCTCCTCCTGGGACTTCGAGAGCGCCTTCGACAGGACGGATCCAGTGATTGTAGGACGCATCTGGAAAGAGTGTGGTGTGCCCCATGGCATCGTGGATGGCATCGTGGACATATGGTGCAACCAGGAGCGGTGGATTGAGAGTGCCGGCCTGGTCGCTAGTGAGCCCATCGCGGTTTCACGGTCGTTGCCGCAAGGAGACCCTGCCAGCATGCTTGGCATGGCCACCGTGCTCATGCCGCCGACGCGCCGCATGAAACGGAGGGTGGCGACGGCCACGTGCTGCGTGTACGCCGACGACCGCACGGCCTGCACGAGGAGCCTGGAGGACATGCAGGAGGTGGAACGGCATTGGGGGGAGCTGGAGCAGCTTACGGCGCTGCGGACGCACCCGGGCAAGACCCAGCGGTTCGTCGTCTCCGCGGACGTGCGCGACGCCGGCGAGGACCGCGGCGCCGACAGAGGTGGAAGCCGAGGGCGTACCGGCGCTTCGCAAGGAAGAGCTGGGCGGCGAGGCAGAGGAGGTAGAGGAGGAGGACGAGGGGGAACAGGGACAGGGGGAGGCGCCGGAAGCAGCTTCAAGGTTCTCGGTGTCGACTTCTCCTTCGACGAAAGGGAGCTAACGCCCAGGGAGATGGGGAAACTCAAGGCAGGCATTGAGAGGCTGCAGAGGATTGCCAAGCTACCGCTGGGCTGGCGGGCAAGGAGGCGCGCGGTGGCGACGGCAGCCATGCCCCTGATGGCGTGGGGGCTCGTCACGGCCCTGCCGCAGGAGGCGCAACTGATGGAGGTGCGACGGGAGGTGAGGAGAGCAGTGTGCGGCAGGAGGTGGCCCTCTGCTTCGGTGGAGCTCCTGCATCTCCTAGCGGTGGGCCACTACGGCGACCTGCGGTACCACCTGGCGGACAGATGTTGGGCCTTCCACCAGGCCAGGAGGAGGAGGCAGGGCACGGAGGAGGAGCTGGCATGGCAGAGGCTGGTGGAGGTGACGGACAGTTGCGGCCCGACGCGCTGCCTGCAGCGACACCTAGAGGCAATGGGGTTCCACAGGGACACCCACACGGGCGATTGGAAGCATGGCGACAGGCACTTGCGCATCGACGACCGCAGGGGCAGAGCGGCGCACGTGCTCCGCGAGGCCTGGCGGCAGGAGCGCTGGGACGCCTTCAAGGCCCAAGGGGCGACGAGACGTGACAGCAGATTAGCTGTGGAGGAAGGCGTCGCCTTCGATGAAAGAGCCTTCCACGTCGCGACGGAAGTGCTGCAGTCAGGCGCGCTTGGCAGCCATGCGCTGGCCGTGCTCACCGGGGCCATGTGGAGCGATGCCAGGCTGGATGTGGCGATGGGCAGAGAGCCGCGCCCGTGCAGCGATTGCCCGAGCGGCGAGGTGCCAGACGTGGTCCACCATTGGTGGCGCTGCGACAGGTGGGCCGGCAGGAGGAGAGGTATTGCCACGCCGCGGAGCGCGCTGGCCAGACGGATGGGATGGCCGGAGGAGGCGCTCCAGGGCGCAGACGCCCGCCGGGCATGGCGGAAACAGCTCGAGTACATGGCTGGCGTGCGCCAGAGCCTCGTCGAGGACCGCTACCGCGGAGGCAGGCCCAGCCTTGGCGGAACGTGGCAGATGATGAGGATGGAGGAAAATGCCTGAACAGGCAGAGAGGTAAAGGCAGTGGCAGTGAGAGGAGGAGGAGGAAGAGGAGGAGGAGGAGGAGGGCGAGGCGGTCAACTTGGGCGCCTGGGGAGGAGGAGGAAGAGGAGGAGGGCGAGGCGGCGGGGATTTGGAGGAGGTGGAGGAGGAGGAGGCAGCTGGAGGGCTGAGCATTTTCAGCCGGCCTGCAGGTTGAGGCAGAAATTCCACCCGGCTTAGGCTTGTGCCGTCAAACAAGCCACCAGCGTGCCGCGGCATGCTGAGGCCAGTTTCGCTGGCTTGGTTTTCCCCATGTACGACAACGAGGCGTTGTACGACATATGCCGCCGCAACCTTGACATCGAGCGTCCTACGTACACCAATCTGAATAGGCTGCTGGCGCAGATCATCTCCTCGTTGACTGCGTCGTTGCGCTTCGACGGTGCCCTGAATGTGGATATCACCGAGTTCCAGACCAACTTGGTACCCTACCCGCGCATCCACTTCATGCTCTCGAGCTATGCACCAGTGATCTCTGCGGAGAAAGCGTACCATGAACAGTTGTCAGTGGCGGAGATCACCATGTCCGTCTTCGAGCCGGCATCCATGTACGTGAAGTGCGATCCTCGTCATGGCAAGTACATGGCGTGCTGTATGATGTACCGTGGAGACGTCGTGCCCAAGGATGTGAATGCAGCGGTCGCTACTATCAAGACCAAACGTACCATTCAGTTTGTGGACTGGTGCCCCACAGGCTTCAAGTGCGGTATCAACTACCAGCCTCCTACTGTGGTTCCCGGCGGTGACCTGGCTAAGGTGATGCGTGCCTGCTGCATGATCAGCAACTCCACAGCCATCGCAGAGGTTTTCTCCCGCATCGACCACAAGTTCGACCTCATGTACTCGAAGCGCGCTTTCGTGCATTGGTACGTGGGCGAGGGCATGGAGGAGGGTGAGTTCTCCGAGGCTCGCGAGGACCTGGCGGCGCTGGAGAAGGACTACGAGGAGGTGGGCATCGAGACCGCGGAGGGCGAGGGCGAGGAGGAGGGCTACGGCGACGAGTTCTGAGCAGGTTGCCACACAACGGCTGCACAAGAGAGGCGTACACAGAATCGCGACAATTTACTTGCAAATTGCAAGCGCATACCTTTGACAGGCAGCTTGTGTCCACGCTGTCCCTCAAAGACCTTCATGCTTTTACGCGGGAGGTCTGCGTGTTTTCCGCGCCGACCGCTCGCTGTTCATCCGCACGTCGCACCTCGACTCGAGGTGGCCGAATTGCTAGGCCGCCTCATACCACTGCCGCCTTGCTTCGCGCTTGCAGAGACAAATTACCCCAGTGCGACCCTACCTAGAAGTTGAAGCCCCTAGGAAAGCAGCATTAGTTGCTATGCTATGCTATGCTATGCTATGCTGTGCCATGCTATGCTGCGCTATGCTATGCAATGCTATGCAATGCTGCGCTATGCTATGCTATGCTATGCTATGCTATGCTATGCTATGTCATGCTGCGCTGTGCTATGCTAAGCTAAGCTATGCTATGCTATGCTATGCTATGCTATACTAAGCTGCGCTCTGCTATGCTATGCTATGCTATGCTATGCTATGCTATGCATAGGCTGCGCTATGCTATGATATGCTCTGCTAATGCTATGCTAATGCTATGCTATGCTGCGCTGTGCTATGCTGTGCTGTGCTGTGCTGTGCTGCGCTATGCTGTGCTATGCTATAATATGCTGCGCTATGCCATGCTATGCTGGGCTATGCTATGATATGCTGTGCTGCGCTATGCTATGCTACGCTATGCTATGCTACGCTCTGCTCTGCTATGCTAAAGCTCGGCGAAGCTAAGATGAAGATAATATAAGCTACGCTAAGATAAACCTGAGCTACGATGAAGCTAAGCTAAACTAAGATGAAATAAGCTAAGCTAGGATGAGATAAGCAACGCTGAGCTAAGGGAACGTCACTGGGGGAACCGCGGGGCGGATGCCGGGGGAACCGCCCGGGGCGAGGAACACTGCCCGGCCCTTTAAGCTTATAAAGTAAGAACCCTTCTAGGCAGAGCCTAGGTGGGGGGAACAAAAAAAAACCCCAAAAAAGGAAGAACTCGGAGCACGCTGACTTGCAAGCACCCAGGGGGGGGGTCTGGGACGTTCGCGCACTTTGTGGCAGGTTACCAGCTCGGCCATCCTCGCAGCCCCGCACCTCGGCCATCCTCCCGGCCGCCGCAAAAGTTCGTCCCAGATCGGCCTTCGAACTGCCTCGCCCAGACCGCTAGGGCCCCCATGTTCGCCGCAAAGGTGCAGACCCCCCTGGGGCTCACAAGCCCTGGCGTTCTTCGTGCTTGTTGGGTGTCCTGGTGCATCCTGGGGGAGGGTACCCCCGAGTGTTCTTCGGTCTGGCCGGCGGAGGGTCTCGTGTTTTCTGTTGTGGAGGACGATCCATGGAGAGGAAGCATGCTGCCAAATGATTTCCAGATGTCTAAAACATGTTTCAAACATGTTTTAAATATGCAGAAACACGGTTGAAACATTTTTAGAACATGTTTTACACATTTCAATCACATCTTTATTTCAATGATAGGATTGTTAGAGTGTCCATTGTCATGGCATCCACAAGTTTTCTGGAAGGACGTTCTTTGGTCGTAGGTCCGACCGTATTCTGCCCGGGTGCAATCCACGAGCTGGTGTTGACAAAAACGGTTTCCCCGAGCAGGTGCGTTCCCGAACAACGAGGGGGACCGTCGATGTTATTTTGGTAGTGACGTTGACAGACACGCGATCCGTTAAGAGCGAGCCGTTTTCACGCAGTTCAGTGCGGATGTCAACGGTGATCTTGATGGTGGTGGTGGTGAAGATGACGAAGCCGATGAGGATGCTGATGGCGAGGATGGGTCGGAGTATGATGACGAGGACGATGGTAAGCATTATGACGGTTGGTATGATGGTGATGGTGATTGTGATGGTGATGGTGATGGTGTTGGTGATGGTGATGATGCTGGTGATGCTGCTGCTGCTGATGATGATGATGATGATGCTGCTGATGGTGATGATGATGCTGATGCTGCTGATGATGATGACTCTGCTGATGATGAGGATTATGCTGATGATAACGATGATGATGATGACGATGATGATGATGATGATGATGATGATGATGATGATGATGATGATGATGATGATGATGATGCTGATGATGATGATGATGATGACGATGCTTCTGCTGATGATGATGATGATGATGAGGATAAACCTGACGATTATGATGATGATGACGGTGATGCTGATGATGCTGATGATGCTGATGCGGCTGATGAGGCTGATGATGATGATGATGATGATGATGGATGATGAGGATGATGATGATGATGATGATGATGATGATGATGATGATGATGATGATGATGATGATGATGATGCTGATGATGATGCTGATGCTGCTGCTGATGATGATGATAATGCTGCTGCTGCTGAGGAGAGGAGGAGGGAGGAGAGGAGGAGGAGGAGGAGGAGGAGGGAGGAGGAGGAGGAGGAGGAGGAGGAGGAGGAGGAGGAGGACGAGGAGGAAAGGCATACATTTGGGGCCCTCATCCATCACCTGTCCCCGAAAGGCCTCGAAGCCGGAGCCTTCGATGTTGCAGGTGCGCGACATCGCTAAGACGCTTCGTACCGCCGCAGTCCTGGCGGACGCCCTGGGGCTGATGAAGGACTCTGGGAAGGCCCCGGGGGCGAGGATAGACGAGAAGGAGGAGGAGAAGGAGGAGGAGGAGGAGGAGGAGGACCTCCTCCTCCTCCTACTCCTCCTCCTCATCGTCCTCTGCCTTCATTCTGGAAGTATTGTGACACTCGCGCGAGGGAAAACAAGGGGGGAAGGGGGAGGAAGAGGGGGGTGGGTAGAGGGCTGGGGGGACGAGAGGGGAAGAGGGAAAAATGGGGGAGGAGGGGAGGATGGAAAAGGGGGAAAGAGGGACGAGCGGGGGCGAGCGAGTCGGAGATCCCAAGAGGAACGGGGGAGGGGGTGGGCGGTTGGAGGATGGAAGGAGAGGAGGAGGAACGGAGGGGGGAGAAGAGGGAATCTGAGGAAAAGGAGGCGGGTCATCGCCCCAGCAGGGGACCCTGATGGCAGCAGCTGTGTGGAGGCCAGTGCGGGAGCAGGAGGTCGGCTGGTGAGAGCGCGGCCATGCGCACTTCTGCTTATCTTATACAGGACGGATCGTGGCCGTCCGGACCAAACACGCAACCAGCATTGTGGCTAGAGTCCTCCTCCTCCCTCCTCCTCCTCCTCCTCCTCCTCCTCCTCCTCCTCCTCCTCCTCCTCCTCCCTCCTCCTCCCTCCTCCCTCCTCCCTCCTCCCTCCTCCCTCTCCTCCTCCTCCTCCTCCCTCCTCCTCCTCCTCCTCCTCCTCCTCCTCCTCCTCCTCCTCCCCCTCCTCCTCCTCCCTCCTCCTCCTCCTCCTCCTCCTCCTCCTCCTCCTCCTCCTCCTCCTCACTCCTCCTCCCTCCTCCTCACCGAGGAAGACTCACGCGGAACGGCTGCCAGACCAAACGATCCAGGGCTCTCCGTATCCACTTTGGGACTCTGGCGTGGTCCTCTCTACCATGGTTGGAGCACTCTAGCGAAGCGCTATTAGGGCAGGGTGAAGGAGTGAGGAGGATGGAAGAGGGAGGAAAACGGATGGACGGCGGACGATGGGCGAGGAGAAAAGAGGGCATGCTTGAGGCAACTGTCGCCCGAGTCCTCGAGCTGGAACGGGTGAGGAGGAAGGAGGGGGAGGACATGTTCATGTAGATTCATGCGGCGTTGGCGCACCGTCGACGCCAGCGAAGGCATTCAGGGTTGAATTCTGCGACGCGGAAGCACCGAGTGACACGGTGACGCCACTGGGTCCGCCACGATCGAGGCTGCGATCGATTCAAGGTTGAACGACCGACGCGTTGTCACAAATCCCTGCGCGCGCCGACGCCGCGCGAACTACCGTAGGCTGAAGACGGGCATGTCCCTCTACAGGGGGAGTATTCAAAAGTAGTGCCAAAAAATAGTCAGGGGACCATTTTTCGAATGTTTTTGATTGTTTTTGTTTTTTTCGCAAAGTTGTATCTTTTGGCTTGTAGAGGGAAGAGGGAGGGAGGGAGAGAGGGAATTGGGAGGGATGGAGGAGAGAGATAGGGAGAGAGGGAGAGGGAGGAGGGAGGAGGGAGGAGGAAGGGGTGCGACAGGGACTTCCTCAATGAGGGAAAAGGAGCGAAGGGCGGCGCCCCCCCCCCCCCTTCGGTCCCAGCAGGGGGGCGGCCCTGGACGTAAGTCGGGCACGACCCTCTACAGGAGGAACATTCGAGAAATGTTGGGCCTCCTCGGAGGCCCTCGTCGCCACCGCTGGATTTGCCCCGAGATTCTGGTCAGAAGGCACCCGGGGAGAGGTCCAGGGAGTAGCGGTATCAGTACCTTTTGGTCTCCCCAGAAGAAGAGGGAGAGAGACGCCGTGCACATCATAGGTGCGCCGGCAAATGTGGAACAGCCGTCGGTTGCACCTTTCTGAAGGCAGTACTGTGAAACACAACGCCGGGCAGAGACGACGGCGGCGGCCTCGAGGAGGGCGAGGCGAGAGGAGGAGGAGGAGGAGGACGAGGAGGAGGACGAGGAGGAGGAGGAGGACCCCGCAGTTGACCAGTGGTCAGTTTCAAAGACGTGGGAAGGGCCCAGCCCTTCAAGCAAGGGAGGCAGGGGAGAAAGCTAAACCTCCCCCTTCTTGAATTTGCCCAAATCGGCATTGCCAGTTGGGGTGGCTTTCTTACACTCTTTGAGACGATGCTGCGCACTGCGTGGCGCGTGGATGCCACACATCCATCAAGTGCAATTGCCTTTGGCCGAAAGGACCATGTCATGGTATGGGTCTGCACACCTGGCCCCGACGTGCACAGTACTGAGCCGCCTGGCACCTTCGTGCCCAGCTCTGGGTACAGCGGCCTGGCACGGGGAGGACAAGCACTCCTGGGACGGGGTGTTGCCGTGGGAGTTGGCGAAAATGACAGAGCAACACATACCACAAAACAAGCGCCAGTCGGAGCCTTCGCGCCTACAGGGATCAGCGAGTGCGCGCGGGCGCCCAGCTGCTCGGCCAGCTTCGGGCGAGGGCTGAAGGCACGAGGAGGGGGAGCAGGAGGGGAAGGCTGCTTGGCTCTGGCTTTCTAGCTCGAGACTGTCCCCAGGAGCGCCTCCAGGGACCTCCGAAAACCTCGAGAGGCACATCTCAAAAGCACGAACTCGGATAGCTCGGGCTGAGGGTTCAGAGATGAGAACAGCTTCCACCTCCCCCGCCTGCAACTGTATTGGGCTTGGCCGTCTGCTCGGCCAGCTGGTCGGCTATGTTGTTGCCAACCCAGGTCAAAACCATTTCTTTTCTCTCGGCCGCCAGCTCTGGTGTCATGTGCGATTCGATCTTGAGAAAGACTGTCGGCTTCGCTCGAAGCAGCACCTGAATTCTTCGCCACTCGTTCCGATGGCCGTCGGGAAAGAAAGCCAAGACAACTCTTGCAGCATTCTTCTGAACTTAGGACGAGTCCGTGACATAGACCAGCTGATGGCCCATGGGGGCCTCCTCCAAAAACCTCAAGAAAGCTATCGTCCCTCCGTGGTTGATGGTTTGGGCTCCCCATGTGGCTCCCGTAGAGACCCTCGCAGTCGTAAGCTCGGGATCGGGATTGTCGATGTCGAATCTCAGGAACGCGATATACGCCCAAGCTACCCTTCGAAACCTAGCCTGATCAGAATACTTTCCTCCCAAGGCGCCCCCTGCGCCGACGATGATGTCTGCGCCGGCTGGAAACTTGCCGTGCGAGTGCACGAACATTTCGGGCTCGTCGAGCGGCAGAGATACTTGTGTCCATGCAGCTGGCGTGAGACCTCGCAACCATGCCGACGGCTGAGAATCCACCTGTGTACGTACTCTGTGTGAGTACTCCTCGCTGCTGGTGTCCGAGGGGAGGCTGGAGTTCGCAGAACATTCCCAAATTCGATGAAGCGTGGTCTCAGGCTGACCGTTGTCGCAGCGATCGCAAACGACTGAAAAATCCGGTGGGTCGATGATATCCCGAATTCTCGTTTTAGGCCATTGACTTCCACGGCATACGTTGACCAGAGCGCCTTCCCATACATGTTTATCTCGAGCCCTAGATTGTCGCAGCTGCTGTCGTGCGCCCGTCAAATCGATCCCATCGCATACGTCGTCGCTTTCGTAATATTTGGCAGCGCGCCTCCACGTAATAAGCTGTGCTGTTTCGGCTAAGTCTTGTCGCGTGCCATCCAGATCGAGGGGACCCGCTTGGAGGATCTCTGGAGAAGCCTGGTATGCATTGCCCCGATCTGAAGCCCACTGCCAAGGCCCGATGGGGTCCGGGTCCCAGTTGATGTCGAGCAAGGCGTGCACGATGGCCCTTGCGGGCCTTGCGACCTTCCGCCGACGGTGCCTGGGGTTCTCGTTGGCCTGTGACACGTGCGTAATCCGATCTCGTGCCGCGAATTTCAAATTCGCGGCACGAGATCGTCACGCGGAGAGTCTGGAAATTCAATTTCAAATTCGTGTCCTCTGTAGAGGAAGCACGCCATGCTTGCTTCCTCTCCAGAGGACAGGATGACCATCCAGCTGTCGAGCTTCTTCAACGCCTGCGAGATTTGCCGGGTCTTTGTCGCCCAGCCCGAGCTGCAACGGGGTGTTGAGGCAGCGCCCGCGAGTGGAGCTGGCAAAAGCACCTCCAACAGCTCGGCGCCAAGCCTGCGCTGCCGAAGGACGCATGCCGTTCGCTGCTGCAGCGCATGTACTATCGCGCAGCAGCCCTGGAAAATGATTGAATCTGCGTGCTGCGCGTTTGCCAGCTCGGCCCGCTCCCGTGAGCCTGCGTGCCTTGCTGACTTGGCTTCCATGCTGCTGCTCTTCGTGCTGCTGCTTTAGGTCGTGCTCGCGAGTTCGTGCCTGTCGGTTTCGAGGTCTACAGTTTTGTGTGCTACCGTAATCTTGATATTGTGCTGTGTCGACTTACGTGCAGTGTCTCTAGCCAGATTGCTGTCCCCCGCGATGATCTGACTCTTGCTGGCAATGCTCAAGTGCGCCTTGCTACGCAGCCTGCCCGAAAGAGTCGCAGCTTTGGTGTGGGCCTGCGAGAGGAACCTGACGGAGCCATACGCATACTGCGTGATATCATCAACCCGCGAAGTGGTGCAAACCTTCGGGTAAATATTGTGGGCAGCCTCCACAATGCTATAGAGATAACATCTTCCAAGACCAACTCCTCGGCGAGCACCAGCAATGACGCTCTTGTGCGCCTGGACGGGGAGGGAATAGTATCTCTCTTCTCTGAAACTCCCAATATGGTGCGAAAGGCCTTCCGTGGGCAAAAGAAGCGGTGGAAAATTCAAGCCAGGCCCTGCCCGAAGAGTCGCTCGTACTCCAGCGAGTCATAGAAGCTGTCGATGTCCCAGAGCAGGCTGGCTGACGCAGTATGTTTGGGCCCCGCGCGCACGGCCTCGTCCGTGGAGGCTCTGAGCAAACCCACGCGAGGACAAGAAGAGCCACGGACGGCATGGTCCCATTTGCCTGCCGTGCGGTCAATCCTCGCAGAAGGATAAATCTGCCTGGCCGAACTCCACGAGCGAATCAAATCTGGTAGCAATCCAACAGAACGATCAGAATCCGGGCATTTCCTCAATAGGGCCACGATAGCAGACT